TAGAGTGGTTTTGTAGGGGAGGGCGATTTCGGCAATTTTTCCTCCCGTTCCCTTCCTTGGTGGCCGGTCGACCCTAAACTACAGTGACAATTAGGGGGCGGACGAAAGCGAGACTCCTGGGGGTATTGAAGAGAGCGACAACACTTGAAAATTTTCGGTAGTTCTTTTTTTCCTTCAATGGGTCAAAAACTTCTCTCGCTTTTAATTTTCCCTAAAAATATGTCTTCACCGTTGTAAGTCAGTTTATTGCAGGAGAAAACTTATCGTGAGGTGGTACAGTATGGGTATTTGTGGTGGCCAGCAGAAAAAGTTGTCCCAGAATCCAGTGAATCACTAATCGACTTAATAAGTCGAGTACTATCGTTACAGAGTGACCACCAGAATGCTGGGCCGATTATCTTGCATTCCAGGTATCACTGCAGTCTTGTTTTTTTAAATCAAGCATCTTTCCAGTTGGAGCAGTGCAAAATCTGCTGCTCGAAATTAGTCGAAAAAAAAAAATTTTTTTTTTGCCTATTTTAGGGATGGATCGTTCAAAACGGGTGTATATTGCTGTGTTTCTTTGTTACTGGAAAGGCTGAAAGCCGAGAATCGTGTTGATGTATTTCAAACAGTACGAAGTTTGCAACAAAGGCGACCACTTATGTTTACAAAATTCGTATGTTTTTCCCTTTCGTATTCCACATTCTGGTCTGATTTCTTGTAAGGACAAGTCTGGTGGCATGATTCAGATTTTTACCTTTAACTCACTGTGCAGGAATCTTTCAGCCACAAAGGCTTGTTCAAGAAGCTAGCAGAACGTTGAGTGGAAATTTCTCTTTTTTTTTTCTTCATCCGCCGATTCTCAACCTCTCTTCATCTCTGTATTTACTCTTTTTGGGAGGCAGAAGCAGCCAGAAGTAGCCCTAGTCACCAACTGTAAGGCTTTGTTTAAATAACGAGTTTGACTGTCTGAAGTTTGGCAGTAGCAATTTGAGCGAATCGGATGAACGAATCCTAAATCAGTTGGTTGTTTAGTAGAAGAATTGGGTGCCCGATTTTGTGCGCGAGAAATATCGCTACTTGCCAATTCATCATACTCCTCAGGGTTTTCATAGTATTTGCAGTAAATTGCTTGATTTTCTTGTGCATCCCACACTATGTTTATTGGGAGTCTTTTTTTTTCTTGTTTAACATTTAGAAGATCATTTTCTAATTTATGGAAGGAATGAACTTTTTTGAAAGAATTTTTTAAAAAAGTTATCAAATAAATTTTGTTTGAGAAAAATAAAAATTTTTTGCAATTTTTGCAGGAGCAGTATGCGTTTTGCTATAAAACTGTGATCGATTATCTTGATACATTCAGCAATAAAAGTACAGTGGCATAAATTATGACGCGCCGATGCATACAACGATTCGATGTGAAAAGAAAGAATGTAAGTGATTATAGGAGCGAAATTTTGCGAAATCATGTTGCCCAGAAACATTCGAAAGCAGTTTGACCCGTGTTTTACCAGGAAAAGCACGTTTTTCGTTTTGCGGTGGATAACCATTTTCGTTTGTAGCACTGTAAAATTTTTTTTTCATATATCGATCAGCCGTCGTTTTTTCGTCACGATTTTCCTGGTACCTAATTTTTTGGTAGTTTCTATGACCGTTGCTGCATCGTCGGATTTTTAACTTGCTGACGAACTTGACTTCGATCCGTTCCTACTTCTATTTTTTGTTTTTAGGCTGGAAATATTAGATACAGAATGTGAGATGTAAAAGAAAAAATGGCTCGTAACTCTGCGCTGTAAAATTTATAAGAGATCGGGAAACGATGTTACAATGTCTTAAAAATTGGTAAAATTTGGAAAAAATTGATGCTTAGGAATGTGCCAGGAAAATTAATGATGCTTAGGTGTATTACTTTAAAAATTAATTCACAGGCTTCCTGGACTTAAAGTCAGAGTCACAGATTATTTGATTTTTATCTGGTCGCGCATTTGAAGAAATCAGCTCTGTCAGATTTTTTGATATTGACAATTTTGCGAATCAAAATAACTGGGGAAGCTGAAATTTTCTGAACTCTTTCTGGGTTAGTACGTGGATATTTGATTACAGAACTTAGGATAAACCTTCGAGCACACACATATGCATACATGAAAATTTCTGTTTTTTTTTTTGCTAATACTTTATCATTTTGCAAACAGCCAAAGTCAGTTATGTGGATCCGTGGAATATATATTATAGGAAGACAATAGAAATGTGAAATGAAAAATTCTTGCGCCAAAAATTTTACTGTCACTGATGTCCTTGACCTTCTTGTCATGAAATTCGATTTTCCAGATGCTGAGATTTGAAAAAAAAAGATGGCATTTTCGGATGAGTATGAAAAATCATTTAATCAAAAATTGAACTTTTTTCCATCCTTTCAGTTTCGTGGTACCATTTTTTTTCAACAGCAACCTGCTATTCTCAACGCTTTCATTGACACCTTCCTTCGAGCTTTCCTTAG